TTGCTGTATGTTGACTGTATTGCTAATACAAGCACAAAACTAGTTCATTTTCTTGGTTACTCAAGAAACTTACTACTTCTGGTGTATATCACAAATTTTCTCAATCTTCTGTCCACCATGTGAATTATGGCCTCTTTCTTGCTTGTTTCCCAACAGCCGTAGGCACTAGCTCTGATTCTTAGCATCAATATGTTGATAAGAAACTCATGTCTCCTTTCTTTATTCTTGTTATAATTAGAAGATTGTATGCAACAACTGCTTGTTAGCTCAATTAATGGGAAGGGCCGGGATATCTTATATTATACGGGTATTGAGGAATGATGTGCAGAGTTGCTCAACTGTACTGAGTCAGCATGATAAAGTGATTTAATGTGTGTACACTGCACATCCAAGAGCTCAGGGATTCAGGAGGGTGAATATATTGCATGCACTATTGGATACAAGTTGACTCTATTCAAATTAAATAACCCTTTTCAGAGTGCAGGAGCATTGTGCATCTGTTGTCTAGGGTTGTCACCAACTCAGTCCTGGAGTCTTAAACTTGGGTTCAGTACTAGCCAGATGTGGTTGTTGTGGTCCAGAGCTACTTAGATATGCCTTAAGTACCCTCTGTAGTGCTCCTGGCATCAGGATCAGATACAGAAAGTCCTGAGCTGGCCCTGCGTTTGAAGGCTGCTTCGGCCTTTGAGACTTAATAACTTAGTCTCTGTCCCACATAAAAAAAAATGCTTCATGTGAACTGGCTGAGAAAAGAGCACACCGGCACTTACATAGTGCTGCATTAACATCTGTGGCGTACATAGTCACCAACAGAGGTAATTAGTTGAAGGGTAATTGCAAGTTGACTCTAGTCACCAGAAACAAAACTACTTGTTTGAAGGGGTTCCTATTTCCTTGTGTTTTTCAATGCATGCTTTCTTTTAAACTTCAGGAATACCAAACAGTACCCACACATATCTTAAAAGGCTATGAGAAGAGCACAGTGGTTGCTGTGAAAATTGCATAGTGTGTTGTTGGTTTGGGTTTTTTAAGTGGTTTTGATTTCATTTCATTTACCTTTTGAGCAGACCTAAACACTGGTTCCTTTTTAGAAGTATCTCACAAATTTAAATTAGTAATGGTCAGATCTTTAAAAGATTGCCTCCTTCTCATTCCTTCCTCCATCCCATTACCTCTCCTAAAAAAAAAATCAAAGCCTTTCATGAAATGTATGATTCTGGCATCTTGGTTTTTTTGTGTTTACAATTATATTCTGCCCCCTGAGGCAAAACTGTCTTGTGCATGTCCATGCTGACCATAATAATGTATTGATGTCATCATTTGAATTGGCAAAACTATGTTGCACACCAGGTTTATCACCATAGGTGTCGGTAGTGATGCAATATTATTAAGAAGGAAGGAATTTTTTTTTATTTGGGCAAGAACATATGCAAAACTGTGGCTTTGCAACCTTAAATACTTTAAGCAGTCTTTCAAAAGTTTGGAAATACAGTAGTTCCAGTTGCTTACCAACCCTAGTTTGGTGCCATTATACATACGTGTAGTACAGTTGTCTTGGTTTTGATTGTACATACTCTTTTCACGGCATGGAGCCATCTATTGACTTATGAGGATAAAATAGGTAAAAATAATCATTTTGTGCTGAATTGGAATGTGGATCTATGGGAAAACTAAAAAAATATATTAAATTTATAGTATTGTTTTGTATACGGAAGATGAGTTACAACTGCACTAATAACCATAACCCATCCTGGCTTGACTATGAGTTAAGTATTATTAAATTATATGTATCATATAGGTGGAAATCTCATTCAGGATCAGGAGGTCCATCATATTTTCTTTAAATTGTATTAAATCTCTTTCCTGATGCATTGTGAATTCCCTACACATCTAATATGACTGTAGTTCTATTTAATTTTGCCCATTACTGTAACACTTCCAATTTGGTTATCCCCAGTTGGGGGAAGGGCAGGGAGGGGAGGAAGTAGATTCTATGCTTTTTCTCCAAAACAAAGGTCTTGACTGAAGATGATGACTCAGTTATATAGAAGGGAAATTGAAGTGGAGATCTGTGGTAAGCCCAACTGTTGCCACAACGGAGGCTCCATTTCTTGTTCTTCCTTCTAGAGAAGTGAAGTTCTCAGGCTCCTTAGCATTTATAACTTTCAACTGCTGTCCTGTTCCATTCCATTCTCTCCTGGAATTTTTGCCACTGCAGAGGCTCTTCAGGATGGGCTGATAAAACTTTTCTCTTTAACTCTTGTCTTCAGTCCATCAGAAATGCTTTTTCAGCTCTCTTGATGGAGTAGCCTTTCCCTTCTTTGCCCCCAACCACCCAAGTTGCTTCTTGCAGTACCTCAGCAAAATTTTGATCCCCAGCCAGCATCTGCTTTTTGAGTAGTCCATAACTTAAGAGCTTTCATCCTGGTTGCATTTATTCAATTCTTCCATTCCTCTGCCTTGCTCCATGCTTCCAGTGGCTGCTGGCATTCAGGGATGCCCTAGCCAGGCAGCCTTTCTCAGCAGGGCAAAAAGGGGAACTTCAGTTGTTGCTATGGCAAGGATTTAAAAAAATCTGTAGGAATATATTGCAAGAGCAGGGAAATACCAGTGTTGAGGCAAAGTCGGAATGTGAAGCCCCGGAGATTCAGAGAAATCTCTAGTAACAGAAATGCTATAAAGATGTTCAAACCAAGTAATTTTTTTTGAAGTCAGAAAATTATTTCAAGTTAAAAAAACTGTAACTGATTTTCATACTTTTCACAGTAGTAATCCTTGATAAAAGCCAGGCTTGCAGAGTTAACCTGAAATGTCATGGTAACTCAGTTCTGTAAGCTGTAGATACAGGAGGGCCTAAAAATTATGCATATACTTGTGTATGGTTACATCTTGCCTCTCAAAAGAGAAAGTTAATCTTTTAAGATGATTTTGTCACTATCAAGAAAATGAACACATAAACTTGAGATCCTGTCCAAATCAGAGTGTAGTCACTCACTGCTAAGAAAATATGGCAGTTTGTGATAACTGTGTCGAGAATTTCTTTCCTCCTTCCTTCATCTTCCTTCCTTGACTTTTCTTCTTAGGCCCCAGTCTGTAATGTGTGTGCTTATGTAGTCTTAGTGAACCCAAGAATGTGCGTAAGCAATTTGCAGATTTGGGACCTGATATTTTAAGCTCTGCAGGTCGTGATTAGCACAGTGCCAATGCTACTGCAGTTGTTGAATTACTTGTGCTAAAATTGTGCATGGTGTTAATACATGGAATTTATTATACTATAACAACAAAAAAACCTGTACTCTGTACAGTTATACTAGTATGGATTTTTAGGTTTGAACTAAGTCAGCATAGATATTTCATTATCTAGTCAATACATGCTGTCAGCTTTGGGTTTTCTGTGTGCTTAGGCTGAACCCATGGCATATTAGCATATACCATGGTTAATAGTAACATTAATTTTGAAGAGATGCATGTCCTTTCAATAGCAAAGCTATTCAGTAGCAAAATTGAGAAATCCCCTGTCATCTTCAGAGCTCCACTGAGCTTGCTCAGTCCAGCCATGGAATTGTTTCTTGTGTTGATTTTTCTAATGCTGGAGAGCAGTCTTTATTTGGTGGCTTAAGCACATAGGTGTCATTCTAGCTCATGTAGAACCTGATTTGTTGGCAATTGCTGGAGGCTAGGGGAAACATATAAAGAGTAGTAGTGTGTGCTTGCTCTGTCCTTGTACCATTTTACCATTTTTATTCTAGGCAACCACTAGTAGTTCCTGCCTGTGACTGTGGCTCAGGAAGGTGGAATTTTTTGTCTACCTAGTAGAGAGGATTTTTATTTCATTATGTAATCAGAAAACTCGTGAATACTTTTTTTCATCTGTCAGCCTTCAGATAAACTGTGTGCCCTTCTATGATCAGAGAGGTAGATCTGCTTGCTACTGCTAATGATGCAACTACAGGAGATGACACTAGTGTTGATGTATAAAGGTAGGAACATATGTACCTTTGGGGAGTGAGAAGGGAGGGGGATTTGGGGCTCTTTCAGCAGCAGCCAGAAGTTAGAACAGTCTAGACCGCTTGCAGCTCTGCACCCTGAACAGACTAGGAGCGAAGTCCCTTGAGAAACCAGTGTCATGCTAAATTCAGAGGTCTCATTTCCCTCTCCCCCTCTCCAGTTTTCTGGTCTCTGATGCTAGTCAAACCTCTTGCTGAGCCCACTCGATTTGCTTAATGCAGGAGAAAAACTGTCAGCTTTTTTTTTTTTTTCTTACTGTGTTAATCTGCTGTTTTGGTGAACTGAATTGGCTCATGGAGAGATTGTTTGAGCATTAGTGCTGGTGGAGATGTATGCTAGGGCTGGGGAGTGGACAAGACCTCTGTTCAGCAGTGGTCAGCTTTTTGACTGTCTTGAACCATCTTGTGTTACTTTGCTCTTCAGCTTGGGAGCTGAAGTGGGGGAGAGAAAGCGAGTAGAAGAAGATAGATGAGGAAGTAAATCATAACGGTATGGAAAAGGTAGTTAAGGAACTACTTTTTTTTTCTTCTACCTTAAAATTCTGTCAAGCCCTTTGAGCTCTTCTGGTTTAGTCTGCAGCTTTAAAGTAATAAAACTGTGTTTTTTACACAGAACACACAAATTGTGAAACTGATTGTTAAGTGATGTGAAAGTCAAATGTGTAAAGATTTTAAAAGGGCAGCAGCCACAGCCAGGACCTGATTTATTGTCTATTAAACATTGATGGTTTAGTTTTGTTCTTCAGTGTTAAAAAGTCCTTAACTTGATTTCTAGAGGCACGTATACCACAGGAAACATCACTTTAGGCTTGATTTGTTTCTTTATACTCTTCCCCTAGTAGTTAACTACTGGCTGGCACTGGAGACAAGGTCCAGAATAACTGGATCTTATGTTTCTACTTTTTCATTCTGAAGGACTGAAAGAAGCTAGTAAAATACTATTATTTTGTTTGGGTTATTTTTCCTTGTTTCTGTGGGTGTAGACTTCTGCTTCAGGGTCCATGAAAAATAACCACGGAAAACAAGCTTGTTGTCAGTAGATTTAAACCAGGTATGTGGGAGTCTTCGCTTCCATTGAACATTTATGTGGAGTTCTGAAAGCTGAAAAAAGCTATTATAAAATGCAGGAGGTAGAAATAAACGGACGCCTGTAAAGTTGAAAGCAGATGACAGATGACCCTTTATTGCTAAAGCACACACATATTTATAATCACATATTCTGCAAAGTCATTGTGCATGCGCACAATCATAGAATATGATTGGTTATACCATCTCTGTACACACGCATAAACATAAGGCATAATTGGTTATACTAAGTAAAACATGCGAAACTTGTCTCAGTCTAATTGGTCAAGATAAACTGCCGAATTGAGGTTCTTTGTGCCAAGTTCCCTTTATCGTGGAATGCGTACTTGTGTTCTTCTAATTGGCTTTATTATCATCTTCTGTTCAAGGTCTTCTAAAGGCGTCTGGAATGCTCTTGTGACCGTTAGCTAAACATGTTCCTACAATAAAAGGAGACTTAAATATGAGAATAAGCTAGTATTAGTTGTATGCAGTTGTTTGTCAGTTTTTACTTACTTAATTTTGAGTGTCCAAGGAGAGGAAGGACTTGAGAATTTTTGGTCAGTAGATTTACTTTAAAAGGCAGAAAACAAAAGGAAAATGTCAGTCACTAGCTGGTACCTTAATTATGTACCAGGTGCCTTGAATCAAAAGTTCTTGCATACTTTCTGATAGTCCATGGAACTGTAACACTTGCTAAAAAGAAGAATGGGATGTGGAAACTGTAACAAAATATCCTAAAAAGTGAAACTTCCTTACAGATTTTGCATTTTTTTAACATCTCACCCAACTGCAAAATATATTATACCATTATTTTAGATTGTGGCTCTTTGTTCTAATTTTTAAATAACTTTATATAACAATTTCTTTAATTTTTAAAAAATCATTACTATCCTAGAATTTGAGGCCTTATCTTGAAACTCTAGGGTAAAGATTGAAGTGTGAAGAAAAAACTTTATGGCCAAAGAGCATACTGAATGCATGTAAAGAATAAAAAGAACAGATCCATGTTGACTTTGAATGTTTGGATCTTTTGTAGACTTCTTGAGCAAAACTGGACTTGAGAAGGTTTCTCTGTCTGCTTCTCAAAGACTTTTCTGCATCTTGTAGGTGGTGTAAAAAGTACTTACTGCTTTCAGAACAGATC